AAAGAAGAAACAAAACAACCGAGGGACACCTGGGTGGCCCACTCAGTTAAGCAGCTGACTCTTGGTTTTAGCTCAGGTCATGATCTCAAGGTCGTGAGATGGAGCCCTTGGAGATCACGTGGTAAATTGCCAAGCGTCAGGTAGATGCAACTTACCACCCTCCCTGCCTCCAGCTTCTTGGCTTCCCTAGTGTTTACTGTCAAGTCTCTGAGAGGCCCTGCTCTAACTCAGTTTCCCCACTTCTTCCAGGACCAGCGGAGAACAAATGCCAGGAGCTCTTGTGCAAGTGTGACAAGGAGATTGCTTACTGCTTAGCCCAGACTAAGTACGACTTAAAGTACTTATTCTACCCTCGTCTCTTGTGTGAGAAGGACTCGCCCCAGTGTGACTGACTAGCCTAACTTGGAATGTTCTTTCACACAGGGAAATAAAAACTCTTTTCCACTCATCAACAGCTGCATTCAGTTCTTTGCAGGCGGGAACGAAGGCCAAGTGTGAAAGCTGCAACCCTTGTTTGCTTTCTCTCCCGGAGAGAGAAAGCTGGAGCTGGAGCCTGTGTGGCTTCCAGTTTAAGGTCAAAAGTCCCGTGCTTATTTTATAAAACCACAACTAGGCCTATGGCTGTATTGGGTTTGGTACCATTTTTTTTTTTTTAAAGATTTTATTTATTTGTGAGAGAGAATGAGAGACAGAGAGCACGAGAGGGAGGAGGGTCAGAGGGAGAAGCAGACTCCCCGCCGAGCAGGGAGCCGGATGCGGGACTTGATCCCGGGACTCCAGGATCATGACCTGAGCCGAAGGCAGTCGCTTAACCGACTGAGCCACCCAGGCGCCCGGTTTGGTACCATTTTTGAGATTCGCCTTTTATGAAAAGGGCTGAGCTTTGTGTTCTAACCTGCTCCTGACGGCGGGTGGTCAAACATGAACGAACACCTACCACGTGCTTGGCCTTGTTCTGTGTTCCGGGATGAGGCGATGAACAAGATGCCCCTTCCTGGGGCGCCTGGATGGCTCAGTCAGTGAAGTGTCTGCCATCGGCTCAGCTCATGATCTCAGGGTCCTGGGGTCGAGCCCTGGGTTGGGCTCCCTGCTCAGTGGGGAGCCTGCTTCTCCCTCGCCCTCTGCCCCTCCCCCCTGTTCGTGCTCTCTCTCTCTCTCTCAAATAAATAAAATCTTAAGATGCCCACTCCTGTGAAGTTCCAGTCTGGTAGTTATGAGCTTTCTTAAGAGTATTCTTCTCCATCCCACTCCACCTAATGGTTAAATTTCCTGGTTACAGAGGTAGAATATACTCAGTGCTTAAAAAGATAAAGGAAAATAAAGACAAATATAAAGGAGAGAAAAAAATCACTCTAATTCCCACAATCCAGAATAACCAATTTTAGTATCTCTGTGCTATCATCAGTGTTTTCTGTGATAATTAAAAATGCAGTTGAGACCACGGCATAGGACTTCCAAGTTTTCCCCGACGTCATTAAAAAACCTTTGGAGAGCGCCTGGGTGGCTCAGTCGTTAAGCATCTGCCTTCAGCTCAGGTCATGATCCCGGGGTCCTGGGATCGAGCCCCACATCGGGCTCCCTGCTCCGCGGGAAGCCTGCTTCTCCCTCTCCCACTCCCGCTGCTTGTGTTCCCTCTCTCGCTGTGTCTCTCTCTGTCAAATAAATAAATAAAATCTTTAAAAAAAAAAAACCACCTTTGGAAACTTCAATTTAAGTAACTGTATAACATACTGTTTTATAGATTGCCCACTTTTGGGTATTGATATTTCCAGTTTTTATCGACTATTGACGTGACGAGGATGCTAATGAATAAATCTTTGCTACACCCCACCACCTCCCTTTTTATTGTTCCTTAACCTAGTGTCACGGCCGAGGGCAGGCCACCCCAAGATGGGTATGGAGATTATTTTGAACTGAAGGCAGCAGAGACCCTGCGGGCTCAAGAGAAACTTTTGCCCCTCCTTTTAACTACCTAGAAGAATCTAAATTGGGGGTCTGTCCTAGAATGAGGGTTAGTACCAGAGATCAGTTCTGAGTGGCCCATCTGCGTGGCAGGGCAAACAGCTCATTACCCAACATCTGCATTCCTTCCCTCTGACGGCCCACATCCCTACCTTAGTTCAGGATGACATTTGGCCTCGTTTTGCCCGTCTTTGGAATTGCCCTGCCTGTGTGGATTCCCCGTATGTACAAAGTTAAGTTTGATTTTCCATTGATCTGTCTCTTGTCAATTTGATTCGTAGTCCAGCTAGAAGGACCTTGAATGGGGACAGGAATTCTTGCTCTCTTACACCAGACTCACTGAAGTGCAATTTCTGCATCAAAGGGCCTGAATATTTTCAGTAAATGCCCCGCCTGGGGTACCCAAGCCCGTTATGATTGAGAGGGTCTGAGGGCTGAGACAGGCAGCCAGTGCCTGTCCCCACTCTGGCAACAAGAAGCAAGAGTCCGGCCCAGCCCGTCTGCACTTCCTCCTTCCCAGCGCATATGTGGCTATTACTCACTCATCCTTGAAGCAGGATGCGGGGAGGAGGTGGGGAATGCTGTGAGCCCACAGGGTACACGTGGGGGCACTGGACTGGCAGTCTGGCCTGGGCCCAGCCCCACCGATGCCAACCAGCCTCCCCGTGCTCAGCTGGAAAGAACAGTAACTGTGCAAGGCACCAGGCCAGGGATGTGCAAATAGTGTGTGGAGTCCCCAGACCTGCTATGTGGTCAGTGACAGGGGGAAGACCTGGCAGCCCTGGGGCCTAATGAGCAAGCGCAGGAGGAAGAAAAACACTCTCCCTCCTTTTCACGTGAGACACCGCAGGGCGGCTCTCGCGTCAGGCTGGGGCACTTCGTGTGACTAGCAGGCTGTATGGGGCAGTGCAGATTTTCTTCACGTTTTCTAAGCAATTCTCTTTTTCTCTAGATAGCACTTTTATCTATATAAAAATCTTTATTTTACTTTCAAGTGGTATCTTCAAACTTTCGGATGCAAAGTTTGAGGGAAATGTTCAGAGGTCCAAAGGATTAATGAAGGGTTCGTGGAGTCACAAAACAACACTGTGGATGGAAGCCTACCTCTGCAGGGCCGATCTTCCGACGGCTCACGTTCACACCTGCTGTCTTTACACTGGAAGGAAAGAAAAGGCCCTGCTTCATCTCATTCATATTTACAGTTACAGCACTTGGTGTAATTATACTTGCTGTTTTATACATCAGAACAGGACAGTAAGATTATACAGTGCAAGGTCAATGTACAAAATGTTTCCTTGAACAAAAGGATTATCCTGGATATTAAATTCCTGCAAACAAAACCAACCAACCCCACAACAATCATTTTCAGTAGCACTGAGGCAGCTCAGCCTGATGCGAGTCATTCTCCATTAGTGCCTGACATCCTACTCAATCCCCACCCCTGAGTCAGGGATCCAAACTCGCAGTGATTATGCACGGAAAACCTGATGACAGTCTGACCACCAGTCTAGTCTCAAACAGAATCCTTTTGGACGCTTAACTCTTGACAAATCTTCTAGCAACTCTTTAATAATACAGAATCGTCCATCAGATTTGGGCTTCTCCTCTGCATTTTTTATGTGCAACTGTCTACGCCTATGACAAAATCTTCTGGTTTTCCTAAATTTGCCTTAGAGGACGGGCCTGGCCCCAGCGAGCCAGGTCTTGGGTTCGGCCTTGGGCTGCAACTCGCGCCGGGAGCCTTTGTCAAGCGGGCCCGCTGACGCGGCAGCCTCCTGCCGTGGCCACATGCATCCTCTGGGGCCCTGGGTCCCTGAGAGCCGTGGTGGAGCGGGCCTCCGCAGTCCCTGTGCGGAGGGTGGCGGGCTGGGAGGTGCTGCTGCTGGGTCAGCCGAGCTCTGGGCTGTCAGTCCCTGCCGCCAGGATGCCACGGGCATGGGAGAGAGGACCTGGCTGGAGCCTCTCACAGACAAAGCAGCACCTTGTTCACGAGGCGCAGAAATAGGAAGTCTGCTCCCCCCCGTCCCCCTTTGCTCAAGCATCAATGCTCCAACGTCAAGGAGGCTGAAAGAGTCTCTCAGGGCCTGCGCAGTGCAAGTCAAAACACCTGGGTTTCCAGCCGTCGGACTTCCTTGACCACGAGATCAATGTTAATAATTGGGTTGAAGTACAGGGCCCAGTAAAATAAACAGTTGCAAACAAACTGAGGAATCAGGGGCCAGAACATGGCCACAAAAAGCCCCTGTGTTGATACTTTCCAAAAATGGCTCCACATCCTCTGAGGCACGGTCCTGGGAAAAGAAGAGAAGCATCTGAGAGGTGGAATGGTGATGCTGTTTCTAATGATGACGCCAAAGTGCTCGGGCCCTGGGCCTTCTCCCAGAGCGGAGCCTGGCCGTTGCTGCTGCAGACACCCTGCTTCCTGGCCCTGCTTGCCTGAGGCGTGCCTCTGCCTGACCCACCATCCTCCACTCCCAGCATGCAGCCTGCGGGGTGTGCCTGGTCCTGGTCCCCACACCGGGCGAGGACCCCCCCACCCCCCAGCACAGCCCCACCGGCTTCGTCGCTGGGTCGCACTTGTATGTATTTAATATCCGTATTTTCTCTGTAAGGCTATGGGCCTTCAGAGTCCAGACTGTCTGGTTCTTTACCAAAACATCTGCAGCGCCCGGCAGAGAACCAGGGGCAGAGGAGGGGCTCAATTAACCATGAGCCTAAATAAATCAAAAGGAGATTCTTGTCAGGTTTTTGGAACTATTTATAGGGCTGTTCCTGACTGACGAGGCCAAGAACTCTTTGAGTCATGGGATGTTTAAGGCTGTTAAGGATGCTGGTGTGGGGCTGTGTTACTTCTGCCTGCCCACTAGCCACCCTCTTTCTTTTGGAAACACTTCCTGAGTTTTCCTTCTGGGTGCCTCCTTCCCCTTTCTTTTCCATGTGGTCTCGGTGGATCTGAAGCCAACCCCTGGTTGGGGGTGAGGGGATGCCTTGAGCCTGGACAAGGAGAGCCTGGCATACCCCGGCACCAGGTGATAGGTCTGGGTGGGCATGGGACCCAGGCAGGGCCAATCAGAGCGAAGGAGTGTGAGCCCCGAGACTGTAAGTGCTATGGGGAAAGAAGTGCTCTCTCTCCACCAGGGGTTCTAAGCTGCTCAGATCTGTGCCCCGAGTGACCATGGGCCCTGCGTGAAGAGAGCTGCTGGAGGCTGAACAGAGCAAAGAGCAGGGCTGCGAGAGGGAGAGGATCAGTCCTGACGACAGCGTTTGGGTCTCTGGATCCAGCCGTGCGGGAAGCCTTGGTGGGGCATCTCTCTTTTTGGGAAAGCCAATTCGGGCTGGTTTCTTTTCCTTTTTTTTTAAAGATTTTATTTATTTGACAGAGAGAGAGAGTGAGAGAGGGAACACAAGCAGGAGGAGTGGGAGGGGGAGA